CAACACTGCGCTTGTTGCTACAGCTGATACTGCCAAGTACAGGATGAGAGTGTCTCCGGGCGTTGGAGCAGAAAGGATTGGGGGTTTTGTCATGTAGCTTTTCAATTGATTGAGAGCTTCCTGCTGCTAAGGTCCCCATATATCTTTGTTTTTGGATCGAATAGCATCAAAGAAAGGTTTATACTTATCAGATAATCGGGATATAAACCGGCTGAGAGCCGCAATTCGGCCGGTTAGAACCTGCACTTCCCTACGGGTTTTTGGCTCTTGGTTCTGTATGAGTGCCTTTGCCTGAGCTGGGCTTACTTCTATTCCTCTTTTATTTACAATGTGTCCGAGGAACTGTCCTGACGAGACGGCGAAGGAGCACTTGGTGGGGTTCAGCTTCATATTGTACCTCTTGAGAGTATCAAAGACCTCCTGGAGGTGCTTCGGGTGGTCCTCTTTCCGTATACTTTTGACCACCATGTCATCGATATAGGCTTCAACTGTATTCCCCAGTAGATTATTGAAGATTTTATTGACAAGTCGCTGGTAGGTGGCTCCGGCATTCTTTAGATCGAAGGGCATCACTCTGTAGCAGTAAGTGCCCGTCTCTGTGATGAAAGCGGTTTTCTCCTCATCTTCAGGATTCATGGGAATCTGATTATAGCCGGAGTATGCATCGAGGAATGTGAGCCTCTCATAACCTGTCGTAGCATCCACCATTTGATCAATCTTGGGCAGAGGGAAGCTATCTTTTGGACAAGCTTTGTTAAGGTTGGTATAATCTACACATACCCTCCATTTCCTATTCTTCTTTTGAACGACTACTACATTTGAGAGCCATTGTGGGTATTGCACCTCTCGAATGAATCATGCTTGTAATAGTTTATTTACTTCCTCGGCTATTATGCGATTCCGTTCAGGTGCGAACCGTCGGTGCCTCTGCTTGACTGGCCTGAATTCTGGGTTAACCCTCAAACTATGACATGAGACCGTAGGATTGATCTCTACCATGTCCGAGTGATCCCAGGCAAAGATATCCGAATTGCACCGAATGACCCTGATCAATACTTCCTTCTCTTCGGCTATGCAAGATGAGCCAATGTAGGTGACTTTCTGAGGGTCTCCGAGGACTACCTGTATAGCTTCGAGGGATTCCTCGGTAGGTGCTTCAGCCTCGGCTTCTTCCTCTGCCTTGAGATACTTGGGCAGAGGATACTGTAACTGCTATTTGATTGCGTCTTTGGGATTCGCCTCTAACGGAGGTGATTTCGACGCCTTCTTTGCTTCATGTAGCGTTAGCATGTAACATTCTTTTGCAGCAACCTGGTTTCCCCAGAGGTCGATGACCTCCCTGCCATCTGGGGATAAACACCTCATTACTTGATGAAGGGTAGAAGGGATTCCGTTCATACGATGGATCCAACCTCTCCCCATAATGAGGTTATAAGATGGATGAATTTCCGTCACTACAAAGTTCTCCTTCAGAGTCCTCTTTGCTGCAGTAACGGATAGATCGATCACCCCAAGCGGATTCACCTTAGTACCATCAAACCCCATTAGGGGGCTCGAAGTTGGCCTGATGGACGATGGTGAGACCCCCAGCTGATCGAAGGCTGCTTTTGTAATGATGTTGGCGCTACTTCCCGGATCTATCAGCACCCTCCTAATCATATAATTCGCTACCAGGAGGCTGATGACCAAGGGGTCCTCATGCGGGCGCTGGACTCTAGACAGATCATTGTTACCGAATCCAATGTTGATGCTGCCTGGTGCAACCGTGTTTACCGAAGACAATCTTCTTAACTTATGAGCCTCTCTCAGCCTGGATCCGTACAATTCTTCAGACTCTTCATCATCCTCTGACCTTCCGTGTATGGCATGGATAACCTTTACCTGACTGCCCTCCACCCGTCGAGAGTTAACCTCCCGAGGTTTTACGTACTCCTTCGTAGCGAAATACTCCACCAACTCTCCTCTCGCTATCATGCTTTCTACCTGTCGCTGAAGGGACCTGCAGTCATTGGTGGAATGCCCATAGTCTCTATGGTAGGCACAATGTTTGCTTTTATCCCTCTGCTCCAAGGGTTGTTTCATGGGCTGAGGAGTTGTGAACCTCGTTTTATTCTCTTGGAATAGGCGCGCTAAGGTAGTACGGAGAGGGGTAAGCCTGTCCTCTGTCCTTCGCCTCTTCTCAGGCGCTTGGGTGACTAGTGTGGCGGTATGAGGAACCTTCTGCATCCTTGTGCTTGCAGCTTTCTCTCGAGACTTGTTTTCCACTGTGACGAGGGTAGCGTGCTGTGCACGGTGGGCTACGTTTTCCTCCAACCGAATGTAGATTTGTGCCCTAGCGTTCAAAGTCTGCATATCCGGGGGGGAATATTTGATCAAGGATGTGTGAAACTTGGTTCCCTGGATCATTGCCAACTTAAATGTTTCGATTGCCGTGGCAGGGTGGCAATCTGCTATCTCCGAGGCTCCCATGTTAAACCTGGATAAGAAATCTTGCAGAGTTTCTCCCTTCCTTTGCCTTATGGTGAAAAAGCTGGCGATACTTTTCTTCTGCTTCTTATTTCTGCAATACTGGGCTAAGAACATAGTGCACAAGGTCTCATAATCAGGGATAGACTTGTGTGGCCTATTCCTGAACCATTCTAACGCTGCTCCGGTTAAACTGGTAGGAAAAACCTTACACATCCACGGATCGTTATGATCGTCTAGTGCCATCTTTTGCGCATAATGATCGAGATGCCGAGAGGGGTCTCCTGCCCCATCGAACTGGGTGAAGGATGGCATAGTGAACTTCTTTGGTCTCTCCACAAGGTACACATCGTCAGTAAAGGGGAACTTGACCAAGGAGTTCTTGTGCTCTCTAGCCATCTCGGCTGGTGTCTGAACTCTTAATAGCTTCTTTTCGTCGAAGGCATCTTGTACGCGTGCACCATCTGGAACGCCATTGGACCATACCGTAAGCCTATGGCTGGACTCGGCCTGTTCGTCCTGTGTGCGGCACGGGAGATTATCCGAAGCAACCGCCTCGGACCTCGTCCCTTGCTTTTGCTGAACCTCATTAGGTCGAGCCCCGTTGGGTGGTGTCCCGTTGGCCGGAGGCTCGTGAACTGGAGGTAAATTCTGGGTGGGGGTGGTGCTACAGCATCGCCTGGTGGTGGTTGTGGCGTTAGCCTGGCCATTGTCGTGTGCAGCGTATGAGTCTGCTGCTGAAGCGCAGCTATCTGGGCGACACTCGTATCGTTTGCTTGCCGGAGTGTCTCAAATTGGTGCAAGAACTCCTCTCGCATCTTTTGCATCAATTCTATCTATTGATTCATTGCTGACTCTCCGTTTGACATTCCAGATACGACTAAGGATTTCATTTGAAGAACAAGTGGGAGTATATTTTTATACGATTCCCACAGACGGCGCCAAAGTGTAGGTGCAAAATTTCGCTCAACCAATAATGATTAAGAAAAATAAAACAACTCACTCAATCAATAGTAAAATAAACAAGAACAATATATCTCGAAGCGTAGAATTGCTTGATCCCTTTATTGGAGATCTAAGCCTCTATTTATATACAAAAGATTGTAGAATTATGGTAGGACTCGCCTTGCTTGCCCTCCAATTCTTTCTATATAAACGTTCTTTACTAGTAGAGTTCTTTCCATTGTCTAATTTTCCATACATAGAACTTGCCTTGTACAGAACTTCCTATCTCAGAATTTTCCTTCTACGGTAAATCCTTCAACTGATAGGATTTGTGCATTCTTGAATAACTGGGCTGAACATACTTTGATCCGGCTGGACTTGAGTAACGGACCAGATGTTTAAATACTAACTAGTTGGGCCGATGACCTCTTGATTCGGCCTTGATGGAGGCTGGATGACAAATAACAATGGTCTTGGACTAAAAATACCCTTAATTTGGATTTGAGCATGATGGGCCTTATATGTCCTTGGAGTGTAGTGATGACGTGTGCGCTTTTTATTGGAGGGAGTTTTTTTCCCTCCACAGTAGTTAAGTTAAAATCACCCCCCTCAAGACACCTTAGGAAAATTTTTTGTTAAAAATATTTATAAAGAAAGTTTTTTATAATTGGCTAATAATCGAGAGAAATTTTTTACAATTCACCCAATATAATATACAATCATAGTTCATAAAAGAGCTATACTTTCAAAATTGAAGGGGGAAGCCCATACTTTACTGCAAATTTATATGACTAGTAGAGTGCTAAAAAATCCTGGGAACCATTTTCACACCTAAAGGGTATCAAAAAGTCAGTCAACTTTGTCACCTTCATTTTTGTAATAGTACCAAACATTTGTCACCTTCATTTTTGTAATAGTACCAAACATTTTTCTTTTATTAGTGGAAAATAACAAAACATGTTGCATGTTTTCAAAGTTGGAAAGTCAGTACTTTATAAATTATACCCTAAAATATTTCGTAACAATTTTTATTTTATCAAACAACACTTGAGAGGGTGATTTCCATTCCCCCCAAATTTTATTTTTTTGGGTTATATATAAGAAAAAAAATGTATGTTATTTGGTTGAGAAATGTTTTTTAATCTATAATATAATAAATTTTAAAATTTTAATTTAAATGTTTTCTTCAATAATTTTAATGCTTTAATTAAGTTTTTCTAGGAGGAAAGATATTTTTTTAAAGATATTAAGCTTTAAAAAAATAAAATTATTATAGAAAATTTTAATTACTATTATCCTAAATTATTCCAACATACTAAATTACTACTATCATAAATTAAAACTTGCTTTTACTATTATTATTTTTTCTTCCTTTTCTCATAGGAACACAATAAATTCTCTCTTAGCCAACACAAAAAAAAAAAAGATTTATTAATTATTTTCTCCCTTCCATATAGTATTATTATTATTTTTTTTACAAGAGCGAAGCATAGAATTCTTCAGTGTAAGAGATGAGATATTACAAAATTTTACACTGTCACGGCGTCGTTTTGTAGTATCACCCCGCCAAAACCCCCCGCTGCATTTACATTTCTTCCTTCCACTCTCACTCTCTACAAAGTACCTCTCACAGATTACTCTCTCTGGAATTCGGAAAAGTTTTTCTCTCTACAAAGTTCCCGATACAGTCTAACTCAAACAACACCATAAACAAGGTGAGATGGGAGACAAGCGTAAAAGAGGTCGAAACCCTAAAATACGAGTCGCCGAAACCCTAGATTTCCAAACAACCAACACCACCACGGACGACGTCATCGACGCCCCCTCTTCCGACCACCCTATCAGCCGCCGTGGCCGTGGCCGTCCCCCGAAAACCTCCAAACAAGCCGACGAAACCGTAGTGACTTCTCCGGCGAGACGAATCGAGAGCAACGGAGACGCTGTAGCGGGGCATGATTTGGTTGCGGCGGCGGCGGATAGTGTGGTGGTGGCGGCAATGGACGCGGTGGTGAAGGTGTTTTGCGTGCACAACGAGCCGAATTTCTCACAGCCGTGGCAGAGGAAGAGGCAGAACAGTTCGAGCAGTAGTGGGTTTGTCATTGGTGGGAGGAGGGTGTTGACGAATGCGCATTCGGTGGAGCACTATACGCAGGTGAAGCTGAAAAAGCGTGGGTCTGATACCAAGTACTTAGCTAGAGTGCTTGCTTTTGGGACAGAATGTGATATTGGTGAGCATTTCAGTGCCTCATTGTTCAGTTTTTGTTCTAGGAGAATTGGAAACCAGAAAAAGAGTTCAAAATTTTCAATTTTTTTTTCTGACGACTGAGTTAAAGAATGACATGGATTCAAAGAACTGTCTTTTATGGTTATCTAAAACTCTTTTAAGTTTTCAAAGTTCTTGAAAACTGTTTTCAGAGAACTGAACCAAACAGGCCCTCCATTTCTGTGTATTTGAAGTCTGAAAATATTTATCTTTTCATTCACTCATCAGTCAGTGGTGAATTTGTGTTACGTGATGCATTTGTCTGTATATATATATGTAATTGATTGTAATTGTGTGTGATTGTGTCTTTATCCTAACTCTGTATCATGTGAAGGAACGGATTGTAAGCATTAGTATTTTTGTGGGTTATGGTAATTGGACTTTGGTTTTATTTTAGCTGTGCGATGTTGCAGCTATGCTTGCAGTGAATGATGAAGGGTTTTGGGAAGGGTTTTGGGAAGTTGGATATGTTGACTACTTGGTCTAGATTGGTGCTTGGAATGAGATAACTTTTGGACAAATCTTAGTTATTGTGAATTGCACTCATGCTTAAGGATTTGTGTGTTGCACTCTTAATATGCTGATAATTTATGTAATTTTTTAGAGTTGATTTTTAGTTAATATATATTTTGATATACGTGATGTTGCAGCTTTGCTTACAGTAGACGATGATGAGTTTTGGGAAGGTGTATCACCTGTGGAATTTGGGGATTTGCCTGCACTTCAAGATGCAGTGACTGTTGTGGGATACCCAATTGGGGGAGACACGATCTCTGTAACAAGTGGGGTTGTTTCACGTATAGAGATTCTGTCATATGTTCATGGGTCTACTGAGCTTCTAGGGTTGCAGGTTTGCAGCTATTCTACCTTATTCACTCTATCTATTGTTGTTCTATAAACCATTTATCTCTTGAATGAGGTTTGTTTTTCAGATAGATGCTGCTATAAATTCGGGAAATTCTGGAGGACCTGCCTATAGTGATAAGGGCAGTTGTGTTGGTATCGCATTTCAGTCCCTTAAACATGAAGATGCAGAGAATATAGGTTATGTCATACCAACGCCAGTCATCACGCACTTCATTCAAGATTATGAAAAAAATGGCGCTTACACTGGTATATTTTGGTTATACATTCCTTGCAAGAAGAATGTTTAGGTTTATATATGTCTTATTTGTTACTTAATCAGCAGAAATCATATACATTGGTTTGTGGGGTTTAATTGGACCCTTTTGCTTTAGAACCTAGCTTTAGATCATCAACTTGAACCATAAGACCTCATATATATATGTGTTATCAATCTAAATTATTATTTAACTTTTAATCCGGATCCAATTGTTAGTTTTGTACTCCTACAAGTAACATGATCACCTACAATCATCGTAATTGGAAATCGGTAACTCAGCCTACTCAATTGGCACAAATGAAAGCTTTAATCAGTAAATAGCCATGCTCAAAGTAGAGAAACCCTTTGACCCTGCGGGGTAGCTCAGCTGGTCAGGCCTTGGGTTTGCTCCCCAATGGTCACCAGTTTGAGTCTCCGCAAGGCCATTGGAGGCTTACCCAGTTGTTAACTTCGGGGCCTCGTGAGATTAGTTGAGGTGCGTGCAAGCTGGCCGAACACCCACGATTATCAAAAAAAAAAAAAAAAAACGTAGAGAAACCCTTTACTATTAGAATTAAGCACCTATTTCTTCTATATCCTACTTTAAGAATCAAGATGAGGAATATTTTGTGAATGTATATTGTCTGGCAGCACTGAATGCATAAAAATCAAGGTTGTTAAAATCGCGACTCTACATCATAGAATCGCACGATTCTGCGATCCTAGCACCCCAAATCGATCTAAATCGCACATAAATCATATTTGTGGTAGAATCAGTAAAATCGTTGGTAGAATCGTAGACTCAGTTTTTTTTTTTTTTTTTTCATGGTTGATTGTGATTTTTCAGTGAATATAGGGGATGAGTTTTCTGGGCTTGTTGTTTTGTTTCTAACTTTTGGTTCTTGACTTCTTGGTTTTAATTTTCTTTAGTTTTGACCTTATAAATTGTTATTTGGTATTAGACTATTTACTATTAGTTCATGTTTATGTTCATATAATGAAAAATTGTTCATTCATTCCTTTAATACAATGCAGATATTTTTTATAGACAAAAACAGGGGTGTCTATCACCCAATTTTTATATAAATAATGTTAGTTACTTTATTATTATTATTATTATTATTTTGTGTTATGACAAATGCAGCGAACCAAGCAACAATTACGAAACACGACGGAAAAATAAACACACCACACAAAGAACACAAAGATTTATACGTGGTTCGGCAAAGCTTACGTCCACGGTGGAGATCCAGCGAAAGTCTTCACTATTTGTCAAATCGGAGATTACAAGTTTCAGCCTCTCACTCTCAATTCTGTACAAATTTCAGTGTCTCTCTCACACCCACTCCAAATCCTAAATGCCCTTATATATCAGGTTACAAAGAGTACTAATTAGGGTCCATAACCCATGAGCAAAAAATGGGTCAAAAAATTTCCCCAGGGCCAAGCCCCCGAAACCCCAGAGCTTTGGTGGGCTTGGGCCCACAAAGCTCATCAAACGGGTTGTCGGGTCGTAAACTGGCCTCAACGTGACCCAACACCAAATTCAGGCCACAACATCACATTTTGGATTTACTTTTTAATGAACGTTGGTCGATTCCTCTTGAACGTACTACCTAGCATCTATTGCAAGTTAGTATTGTCTCTCACGATTCAAATTGAATTGATGTTGCATAGTTGTCATGCAAGCTCTTCCTTTTGAACTACATTCTCTATGATCTATATGTATGAATTTATCCCAAGTTGTATGTAACTATATTTGGAATGATACTTTTATACATTTGTTTTTTGTGTTTTGGGCTTATTCTTGCTATATTTTAGAGACATTATTGTTTAAGAAGTTAGTTTGAATTCTTTTTCTACTAGTTTGTTAGAATCTTACGATTCCGATCCTACGGAGCCCCCAACGATCCTATGTAGAATCTCGATCCTGACAACCTTGATAAAAATGGGAGGATGTGTTAAGGAACGATAAAGTAACAGTCGTACAAATCACTCAAGTGCTAAGTGACAAAGTGCAAGAGCAGGAGAATTTTTTTTGGTTGGTGGAAGCAAGAGTATGGCATCAAAGTACCAATGCACAATTTCACGTGAGTGTGGGAATGTGGAGCACCTTTAAAGTGCCAGAATTGTGTTGTGTGTATATGTACATGTACCACATATCATATTTATAGTTTTTATAATAATATTAAGTTTGTTTGTTTAAGATTTCACTCTTCTGTTTCATAAATCCAAGCTGCTCCTTGGAGATTGTAAGGGTTGGAGACGTAAAATCAGTGCAACAGAGCTTCTAAGAATCCAGAGTTAGATTCTAAGTCTGCAGATTGGCAGTAAATCCAGACTTACTATGTCTACCACAAATTCGCATGTGGAATGTTACAGCGATTTTTTTTTTTGATGAATTCAATTTTGAGATTGGTAGTGATTCTGCTCTTAGTGTGCAATCACCAATTTGCATGTGGAATGTTAGCTGCCCCTTGGGCAAATTGTCCAAGTGTGCCTGAACCCGTTTCATTTTTTATCGGAATTGTTTTCAAAAGGTAATATTTGGTTTTTTCTAAAATTTCTTGTTCCTTTGAGAAGTATGAGACATATTCATTCTAGATATGGTATGAAGATGTTATTTTTGGATCAAGCAATTTAGATACCCAACAGAACCAAGTAGCTGGTCAAGCAGAAAGTTGGTCCAGTTTGATATACTAGCATTGATAAGAAATTCATTAGCACTATACACATCATCAACTGCTGAAAAATCAGTCTTGAGGAGAAAAGCTTCTTAGAGCTCTGGATCAGTCAGCAAGTTTAGACAAACTGATCATTTCTTAGATAGAAAACTTTGTGAAAGAAAAATCTTAAACCGTACCATGAAATTTCTTTAAAACAATCATCATGCTATAGGTAGAACGCGAAATTATCTTCCCATACAAACGCTTATGATGCTATTAGTACAATTAATGTCAGTGTTCCTGGTGATTTGAAAGAAATTACATTTCAATGAACAACAGTGATTACTGGTTGATCATATGTGTTTGGTAGTAGCTAGTAACTTAAAAGTTATGCTGTTTGGTTAATAGGGTTTAAATGACTAAAAATCAATGTAAGAGAAGAAGCAAAGAAGGAGAAGTGACAAAAAATTTAATCATATATGGTTGACGTAGTCAAGTACATGAATGCCTTGTTCAAAGAGCAAAATAACTAAAAGTTGCCGAACTTTCGAATGCTCCATTTTTGGCATTTGATCGTATTTTCATGGGTTGTCAAGTAACATGTGGTTTATCTTTTGATATACTTACCATCTTTTAACATACTTTACTTGCATTTCTGCAGTTGTAATGGCGTTGGTCATTCAAATATTGTTCTTAATGTGAAGCTTGAAATTGTATTTTTTTTTTCTTTTTTCTGAAGGAAAAACTTGGTGGCTAAATTGTCATTATTGTATTTTATGTTCTAGGATTCCCAATACTTGGGGTTGAGTGGCAGAAGATGGAAAATGTAGATTTGCGTTTGTCAATGGGGATGCAACCTGATCAGAAGGGTGTTCGTATAAAAAGAATTGATCCCACTTCTCCAGAATCTAAGTTTTTGATGCCATCAGATATTATCCTCAGCTTTGATGGGGTTGATATTGCTAATGATGGAACGGGTAAGTCTCTCTCTCTCTCACCCCCCATCCCAACTCTTCTCTAAATATTTTTCTTAATTTTATTTTTTCATTCAGGTCTTATGATTTATTGAATTGCCTTTCATTTTCTAAATAATTTTTTATTCTCTATTATTTTCTTTAATTCCATTGTTTTTTCTTTTCGTTTTAATACAGACAAAAATGTTTATGTATCATGTATGTATGTACTGGCTTCTTGACTAATTATATTTTGTCCAGTTGCTCTTATGATTCTCAATTAGTGATTAAAAAACTGAAATGTGGAGTACCATTTATTTTCTCTTGATTTTTATTTTCTTCATATAGCTTTAGTAATGGTCCTCTTGTTGCCATATTTAAGGTTGTAAAAAAGTCAAATCGAGTAGTAGGCTACTGGAGCTTAGCTTCATAAATTAAGGAGCTCTAAAAAAAAGTTCATTTTTTCTCTTTTCTCACGAAGGATCTTATATGTGAGCTTCTAGTTGAGATGATCTTGAGTAGCTTTTTTCTTCTTAAGAGTAGTATCCGAGTTTGAGCTCAACTTGAGAACCATTTGTGCTCCAAACAAAGACTGAGCTCGCTCAACTATAATTATTTGCATTGTTTTTGTTTATATTATGCATGCCTTATGGTCCTATTATTTTTATAAATTCCTTATAATTTAATTATGAAATAAGAAAATTTTATAATTGACAGATAGCATTGCCAAAAGAAATGTATGATATATATATTTTTCCCGACCACAATGTATGATATATATATAATATATATTATTTTATTAGAAACCCTCAAAAGGGGAGTACACCCAGAGATTACAAAAACAAAGTCTTTCCACCTAGCCACAGACAACTATACAATCAAGCTATCAACAACTTCATTTAAAGATATACAATTCTTTTCTTTCCCCAAGAGAATAAAGAACTCAAAATAGCAAATTTTAAAGCCAGAACTTGGGTCTCCTCTCCTTCTAAAGACCTCCTATTCCTCTCCCTCTGCAGACCCCACCACACACAAAGGGGAACCACCCTCCAAGCGTCTCGAGGCGAAGAATCCCCTATACAACTCCTCAAAGACTCCAGCATGCTGCCCATGGATCTCCCCAATGGACTTGAAACAGATTGAGAAGCATGCCCTACACTTTCTGTAGCAGCCGAGCAACGTAAAAGAAGATGATCCACCGACTCTTCATCCTCCTTGCACATGCAGCACTGACTCACCATAATATGTCGCCTCTTTCTCCAATTATCGATAGTCATCATCTACCTAGAGCCGTTGTCTACCCAAAAAAAGCCACCTTAATAGGGGCTTTGGTGCTCCAAACTGTCTTCCACTGGAATGAAGGACCCTGAATGCCCAACAGCCACCTGTAGAAAGAGTGCACCTCAAATCTACCATGGATAGAGCCAACCCAACCCAAGATCACTCATCTATGCCCTCCTCCATCATCTTCTGACTATAATGCAACTCCAAAAAAACCAATGATCTCATCCATTTCCCAATCCTGAAAGTGCCTCCCAAACTACACATCCCAAGTCACTCTTCTGCTGTCAAGCCAATAACAGTCTGCGATCGATATCATCTTCTCCATCACTATTCTATATAGCCTCGGGAAGACACTAGCAAGACCCCGATCACCACATATTTTGATGTTTTTAGTTCAATAATATCTTGTAAGCATAATATTTGTTCTTTTAGTTTCTGAGAGATTGTTAGTACAAAATATAAATTCTTAGCTATGTTCTATGAGTAATTTTTCTTCTCTGCCCTTATGGTGAAGATCATCCCTAACGATGACTTCTTTTTTTATTTTCTTATTTATTAAAGAAATTATTTCGATTTTTATAAAGATACAGCTATCACACTTTGGAGTTCTTTTGATGCTGTCACTGGATTTGCTGAAAGTATATTTATACACTGGAATTTTGGATCGGTTATATTTAGTCACTTAATTATTTTCTTCTATCATTTATTTTTTTTATTTTATTATTATTATTATTATTATTTTTGTATAAATCCCATGAGGTCTGCTTTTTTGTTTTCAAGGAAATTTTCGTTACTTGCATGGTAAAAATGTTTATTCTTACGCTGCAGCTTGACTTAATCTTTAAGTGTTGTATCTGAAAACTCATTAATGGAGATTGTTATATTCAAGTTTAGTCTCTGTTCCATTATTTATTCATTTGCTTCTGATGTGCTTTTTGCGGCTTCTGATGTTCTTCTTGTGGATAGGATTAACTCTCTTAGTGATTTTTCAGTTCCTTTTAGGCATGGAGAGCGCATTGGTTTTAGTTACCTTGTAACCAAAAAATATTCTGGAGATAGTGCAGCAATTAAAGTTCTTCGTGATTCTAAAACTTTCAAACTTGATATTAAACTTGCAACTCACAGAAGGCTCATTCCGGCACACAACAAAGGCAGACCTCCCTCATATTACATTATTGCAGGATTTGTTTTTACAACTGTATCCGTTCCATATCTCCGTTCTGAGGTGTGCATTTCTCTTCAAAAATTTTGAACACGTGTTTGTGTGTATGAATGCATTGTGCATGCAGTATTGTTTAACCTCAACTCACCTCAATGTAGCTTCACTCAACAAAACCTTATATCCCTACTACATGGGGTGCCTGTTATAGAAGTGTAAAGCTTTTCATCTATTCTGTATTGCTTTTATGTTGTGGACTAATCATGGAAGATCCCGTTCAGAAATAAAATTCTTAACTTTGGACAGCTAACCGACACTTTTTTAGACTCTGATGAGGCATGACTCACCAACATGTGACCGACAAATATTTAATGCTGGGATATAAATTCATTAAGCATTGAGAAGGTTTACAAAAGAAAAATTAAATTGACTGTTTGTATGGAATTTACTTATTATTATTATTATTATTATTATTATTATTTGGTTTAAGATGGAAGTATGATATAGGAAGGTTCAGAGGAAGAAGTGTGCTTGTATATACTCAAGTACATGGATGTGCACATATATGTCGTGTCCTTGCTGTTATTTTTGTTTACATGACAAAAAGTGACTCTTGATTGTTGTGTATCGTAAGTTACAAGTTTTTGTTTACAACCAAAGGATATAAAGTTAACTTATCACGAAGTAATGCTTGGTGTATATACTACAGTACTATATATATATATATATATATTTTGTTTTTTGGTTGTATCTTACTTTTTTAAGATTTGATTTCTTGTGTTGGGTTTCGTGACCATGTCGTTTGTTAGTGTCCATGATTCATACTCTAGGCTTTTGATTGTGGAGAAGCAAGTTTTTCCATTGATTGAAGGTCACACATTGTGACCTTTTATTTATTTATTTTTATCTTTTGTACTTGTCGAAAAGAAGATCACACATTTTGTGAAATGCATCATAATATCAATATGCTTGGACTAAAAGGATGAAAACTCAAACCTGTATTAGTGTTCTTGTTGATAATGTTCTTAAATTGATGTAGCAAAAATTGAGGCCAGGCTTACTTATCAAAAAAAAAAAAAAAAAAAAAAAAATTGAGGCCAGGCTTAAAATTACAAATCAGTTAGACTTCATGCTAGGAAATATGGCCTTTTCTTCTAGCTAAAGAATTTAATAGACAAACTTGGGATGTAATAATTAATCTTATTTAGGACATGTTTAGTGGCATAGGATGATAAATCTTTTGTGATGAAACTCAAAACCATGTGATCTAAGTTAATTACGTAATCAAAGTAAAATCTTTGGAAGGTCAAAACGTTTCAAAGTCATGAATGTTGGTGATCAGGACTGTAAAAGAGCTGACCCATTCACAAATAAGCTCAAACTTTGTTCATTTGTTCATTCAAACTTGTGAGTTACAAAAGCCAAGTTAAAGTTTAAGTTCAAAGCTCAATTGTTACATCAACCATGCTTTGAGCAAATTCTAGCTTGGTCTGTCTGAGGTTTTGCACAATGAAGAATTTTACTCCTAGTATTTATTAACTTTTTCAACCTAAAATGCTCTTCTAGAATGTCAACTGATTTCCTGTTCAAAATATTCAAAGACCATAGATTCATTAGATTTACCTTTATGTTTGCAACTTGAGTTATATTTGATCTTTCATGGGAAGTCAGGACGTTGGCCGCACGTTTAGAGTTGGTTGATTTAAGTGGAGATGTTCTTTTGTTGTGAATCTTGTGTTCTCATTCAATAAAATTCAGGAAAAAATATTTTTGATATAAAACTTAAAACTAAGTCTGTAGACTCTGTACCATGCATACAATTTTAGCAATCTAGAAATTTTGTTTCAATAGAAAGTTCGTCAGGAATTCATTATATCTCAAACCAATGGTCACAGCAGATAAATACCTTCTAGGCGGCAATACCCTTTTGTAATTGGCTTGTGTGCACTCAGGCTGTGCCCTACCTTTCATCTCTCTCTCTCTCTAATATTTCACAGAGCTTGCATGAGAATTATGCTATATATTATGAAAAAATACAATTTTTTTAAAAATGATTCTTCCCTAAGGTTTATCATTACAATACATTGTCTCAGCTATTTTATGCATTATTTATCCCCAGTATGGTAAAGATTATGGATATGAAGCTCCAGTAAAGCTATTGGACAAGCTTTTGCATGAATTGCCACAATCAGAAGATGAGCAGCTAGTTGTGGTTTCTCAGGTTTTTCCTGTTACGTCTTTCATGCTTTCACAATAGAAGTGTGCTGATTCTGTTAATCTTATTTCTTCTTTCAAATTTGTAAAAGGTGCTTGCAGCTGACATCAATATTGGATATGAGGATATTGTCAACACTCAGGTTATGAGCTGCTAATGGATGCAAGTGCTTGTAATTTTGTCGCTAATTTCATGAGCCTGTCATTTGCTGAATATATATATTTTTTCCCTCTATATTTGTGCAGGTTCACGCATTTAATGGAAAGCCTGTGAAAAATCTTAAAAGTTTGGCCACTATGGTTGAGAGCTGTGATGAGAAGTTTTTGAAATTTGATTTGGCGTACCAGCAGGTTCTCTCTCTCTCTCTCCCTCTCTCTGTTTGTGTGTGTGTGTGTGTGTTTGTTCGCGTGTGCACACACATTCAGATTGCATTTCAAGTGTCCTCTGCTTATTGTTCTGTTGTTCTATATGTAGATAGTAGCCCTTCAGACAAAGAATGCCAAAGCAGCCACACTAGACATCCTCACAACATATTGCATACCTTCCGCTATTTCTGATGATCTCAAGAAGTGAGATCAAGTTCTTCACGGGTATGCTAGATCTTGAATCAACAAGCATTGAACAAATAGATGCCGAAATAATAAGGAACAACACTTAAAGGTTCGGAAAACAAGCTTTATTATTACTAATACACCTGTGTTACAGAAGCCGATTATCCACGGCCGTCATCCTATTCTCCAGCATTCCCAGATAACTGATCATGCGACTAAGGTCGTCCAGGAATTGCCGCCTCAGGTCCTTGATCCTCCCAGCGAGTTCCATCCTGGCAGTAGCCATGATTTTGATTTTGATTTATTTATTTTTTATTTCCCCATTCCCTTGGAGCTCATGTTGGGTATGCTAGCCTTCTATATCATTGCAAGTAAGGGTGACAACCAACTTATTGGTAATTTAGCTTTGATACGGATTCATTGTGTGACGGTGTAACGTATCGGACGGGACTACTGCAGTTGTCTACTTGTCTTTATTATTACTATTATTATTTTTCTTCTCGCAAGAGTGTACCGTTAAGGATGTCTTACCGTTAAGGATGTCTTGATCTCTCTCACAGGCTCATTAGTTTTTTTTTTTTAAGGGATAATTATTATTATTGCCATTGTACTTCTATTGTTTTTAATGTAAAATATATGTTTTTTATGGGCATTATTGGGTCTTAAGTAAATATTGAACATGACTTCAATAGAGCGGAGTCAAGTGTTGCTCTAGCTTGAATTAGAGGGGGAGGTTAGTATTATATTAGAAATTGGAGGGGAGATTCTTGTTATTTAGGCAATCTACAAAGGAGGTAAGTGCAATTATTCCTTTTGTTTTTTAAATGATTTTTAACTTTTCTTTCCAAAAAAAAAAAACAGAAAAGAGAGGGAGAGAGAGATTGAACATGTTTGATTTTTTTATTTGTTTTTTAATGGGTTAAGTGCAAAAAAAAAAACCATCTACTATAGATATAGTGCATAAAAGTCTCTGTATAATATAAAACCTTCATATATTATTAATTTAGTGCAAATAAGCCTCTGAAGACTTAAACTGACGTAATATCCTTATTTCAGTTGAATAAAGTAAAAGTAATAACTATAAATCTCGGCAACGTAAAATGATGATAATACCCTCAAGAAGCCATTGTATCTGAAACCTTGTTCCAAATTCAGGGAAAGGACTCCTCCTGTAAAAAGAGTCACAGCCAGTCTCAAATAATACACATTGAATGGTTATCATTCATATCAGTACCAACTCAGGCATATGTGTTTTGTGTGTATATATAATTATATATGTATATATATTATCAGTACGTACATACATCTATGTATATATCTTATATTTGTACCATTCATCTACTTATCAGTTTTTATTATATTTTATTTTTATTTTTATTATACTAATCAGTTTTATTATAATTTTTATTATATTATCAGATTTTATATATTTTTTTATATATTATTATATTTTTATTATATTATCAGTTTATTATATTTTTTAATTATATTATCAGTTTATTATATATATGCATATATATATATTTATATATTTATATTATCAGTTTTATTATATTTTTTATATTATCAGATTATTATATTTTTTTTATTATCAGTTTTTATTATATTATCAATTATATTATCAGTTTTATATTTTTATTATAGTTTTTATTATATTATCAGTTTTATTATATCAGTACGTATATATAAGCTTTTTTATATTTTTATTATACTTATCAGCTTTTATTATATTTTTTTATCAATTAATTTAGGTTTCATTACCAAGTATATGTATCCAGGTTTTTGGAAACAAATAATATGCAGATATTGAGGAAAGAAAGAACAAAAGAGGAGAGGGGGGAGTGGGTATGAGGGGGGTTATATGCGCATATGGGTGAGGGTAAAATGGGAATCAAAAGGATAAAATAGGGTTTTCATATTTATTTTTTGTCGGGAAATGGGTTTGAGGGGGTTATATGCGCATATGGGTGAGGGCAAAATGGGAATCAAAAGGGTAAAATAGGGTTTTCATATTTATTTTTTTGTCAAAAAATAGTCCGATGGGCTTATTTGCACATTTTTTGAAATTTATGAACTAATATATACATTTTCAAAAAGTAAGAACTAGTTCTGCACAAATCCTATATATCAGGGTTTTTTTTTTTACATTTAACCCTTCTTAATTTTCACTACTTTTATGATAAAACGGTACGTTTAAAGATGAAAAATGGATTCTAATATTTAAATTAGTAGTTTTAATGGGTGCCCTTGTGTATAGATAACAACATTATTTTCTCACGTTTAATAGTTAAATGATTGTATTAATAAAAAAGATAAATTTCACAGACCCCTCATATAGTTTGTCATAATTACAGGGACTTCTTCTATGGTAAATTATTCGAATCTCTTTTGAAAATGAAACTAACTTGCACGAACCTCGATTCTATGACAGTTAACACGAGTCAATGACGAATTTTATTGAGGTTACGTATTGAATAAATTAAAATTTCCAAAATATCCTTATCTTCTTCACTATAATTGGTTAGTCGTTGATAGCTTTTACGGTTGGGTCTTTGACAGACTAAACTGGAACGATCAGTTGGATCTTTGAAGCAAGCTCACAGGATAAATTGTGATCTAGAGCACACCAAAATATAGAGCTCTCTCTTGTGTGTGTGTATATATATATAGCTGACCATGCGTGTGGTGACCTATGCGGGCGAGTATGTGCGGGCGAATGCGAGGTATTGGCAGGCTAACACACTAGGTGAGTTATTGGTGCACAATTTCACATCGCCTGGGTATGAAAAAGACAAGTGTTATATGCAGACTCAGCACCCTTCTATGACACAACGCATTTTAAAGTCACGATGGCCATTAACTTACCAGAACTCCGGAGTTAAGCATGTTTAACCTATAACCTAGAGTAGTACCATGATGGGCAACCCACCTGGGAAGTCTCTAGGGGAAGCAAAAAGTGTGTGTGTAGCGTTGTGTTTGTATCACTGAGCTATGGGTCGATGAAGCTTTCATAACCCCAGCTCTTCTCATCGGAACTGATAAGTCTCTGCAACTCCTCCAACTGATGAAGTTGAAGGTTATTTTTTTCGTCGATCTGGTCGCTACAGTTTGGTCGTTGATGCTTAGAGCTTTTTCGTTGTTGGGTTTCTCTCACTATATAAACTTCAACTAACAAAAAGTCCAGTATCTTTCAAATGAATATCTATATGCATATGTACACATACATAAACTTCAACTAACAGAAAGTCCAGTATCTTTCAAATTCATCAAAAAAAAAAAAATTAAATAAATAAAATAATGCATAAACCCAATATATAAGAACTCCAATAATAGGCATGAAATAGAAAAATTAGATTTGGATGCCAGTAGTGAAATCGATTAAACCACAAAAATAAGCAAATTAGAAACTATCATATGAATCAACAACATATAGAGATGTATCAGAAGCCCTAAATCCTACTAAGAAGAAGAAGAATGTGTTGAGAGTACCTTAGAAGGAATGCAACCCACATTGAGGCACATGCAGCCGAGCACGCCTCGCTTCTCGATATAGGTAATCTTGAGCCCAAGCTGAGTGGTTTTAATGGCGAGGATGTAGCCACCTGGGCCGCCGCCGACCACCACGACGTCATTGTCGTCAAATCCCGACGCGAAGCCTCTGGAGAAAGAGGTTAGAGAGAGTAGCGAAGAGCGTCATGGGAGGAGGAATTGTAGAGGTTCCTAGAGAGAGAAAGTAACGAAGACTTTCATCTGGCAAAACTCGCCATTGCCATTTTTTCTTGGATTTAAACTATTTGTGTATTGCAATCCTTGCCAGGGCCAGCCTTTGGGTGGCGGGGATGGTGCCACCGCACATGGCCCCCAATGTTGGAGGGCCCCCAAATTTTGTTGTGAAGCCATATATATATAGTATATATACTATGAAAAATATTTTATTTATAAAATGAATTGCAGGGCCCATGTAAATACAATTTCTTTTAATACAACCCACTTGTAACTTAATTTTTATTTTATTTTAACCCACTTAGTTTGGGCCTAAGTATATATATATATATATACTTAGGCCCAAACTAAGTGGAGGAAAATACATCCTAATCTGGCGTCTTTTTAATGCAGCCCAATTTGTGTGGAGGAGAATACAACCTAGTCTAGTTTCTTTTTAATGCAGCCCAATCGAGCCAGCCCACTTGTAACTTAATTTTTTTATTTTTATTTTTATTTTTATAAACTAAGGCCCAATTTGAGTGGAGGAGAATATGATATACTACTTTAACCTAAGAGAGAGAGAGAGAGAGAGACCCTAAAGGAGAGAGAGGGGTCAAAGTTTATACCCAGCACATGTTGATTTACTGATAGCAATTAGCGACCAAAAGGCGAAGGATTCCTTTCCCATTGATTGGGGGGGTCATTGGGTAATGGTAAATTTCACATTTGTTTTTTGTTATGTACTAATATATACTTTCCTTATAATTTGAAGCATTAGTTTGATAGTTGTTTTGTGCTGGACAATAATGTTTATATATATATATTAATAATTTAATATATATGACTAATTTTATGTTGTATTGAAAATTAAACTTTATGCTTTGCTAAATTGCTAATCAAGCATTAGTTTGAATGTTTAATAGTTGTTTATATATATATATATATATATGACTAATTTTCTGTTGTATTGATCATATACAGTGTAAGGACCATTCCTTTTTTAATTTCTTTCTCATATTTATTTTATTGTATTTTCATTTTCGGGTCGCGTGGGCCTAGGTAGGGCCACGTGCTTGGGAATAATTCCCAACACTTCATTCATTCCGTTAAGGCATATTTTATCTTCATGACATTGTGGGATTTATTTTACACATGTATGCAATTATCATTTCATTTGGGGGATTTGTAGCATTTTCTTTTGTGATATTATTATTTGGGGCAATTGTTGTAGTATCTTTTGAGATATTTTCATGTGGGGGATTTTGTGCAATTTATGAAAGTTGCGTGACATGTGGGGGGTTAGATGAGTGACAAGTGGAGGGTGGATTTGAGTGTGTGTGTGTGTGTGTGTGTGTGTGAGGTAGTGCAAGGGTAGGTGTTGAGATATCATATCACGATTATCATACCACTTTTTCTCCTAATCTTCGTCTTCCTCTCTCTCACTAAAGCTACCATTATTGTTGCCCAAGCTTAAAGCTTCATTTCACTTGCCTTCCATTCATCTTCTTGACTAGCCGTAGAAGGGAGAAAGCTTGGGAACACCAAGGCCAACAAAACCCTTTGTTTTGTTTTGGATTTGGAGCCACTTCTTCACTTTTGATTTCTAGGGTTTGCTTCCCTAGTAAAGTAAGGGGTGTAGTATGGCTTTAACCTAGTGTTTTCCTTATGTTTTGAGGTGTTGTGTGTGTTATGCATTTGTAGTGTGCGTTGCGAGTATTTATGATGTATGATTGTTGATAACCTAGCTCCTAAATGAAGTTATTAATCATGCCGTTAATTTACTCTACATTTTAGATACTCACAAGATGTATATACATGATAATATTTGAGGAAATCATTATATGCTTGTATATGGATTCATGTGTTTGATTTATGTGAGGTTAGTGTCTAAACTTATATGATTTTTGGTGCTTATATTGTCGGTGGTGGAAGCTTTATTTTGAATACATGGATATATTATCAATTGGTCATTTGTCATGGTTTATATTGATGAAATCCTTCAATTATAGTATTTGTGCTAACCATGATCTTAGCTTATCATGTTTGATGTCATTTGTATCAAAATAAATGCCATGATAATATTCGGCACTATAGGACATATGTTGCTTGAGTGGTGAATGTTATGTACCCTTGCGAAGTGGTTTAATTGATTTTAATCTATATGATACGTTGTGGGATTGATTGGTGGTTTTTTGGAGATACTTGGGACCTTTTTGATACTTGAGAATGCGAGGGCTTGGTGCTAGCAGGTGAGCTCGAGTTTCCCAATTTATAGTAGCCACTTGGTTAGTTCCCTGCAGGTTAGTAGCCCGAAAATAATTATTTTTCGGTGTATGCAGTACATATGATTGGGAGTGTGGGTGAGTCCAAGTTATCCCTCTTACTTGATTTGGATCTTATTTTCCAAGTTAACATCCATGTGTAGTTTTAACTTAGCGGCTTTCTGTTTCATTATATTTTCTTGTATTGATATATACTTTAATGGACTTGTCCTATATAATTCAAGTGCTAGTTCTAAGATGATCCTTTATAATTACTCTTAAATTAAACGTTAAGAGGAATATCTGAGGAACCGAGAGGGGGGGGGGGGGGGGTGAATTGGTCCTTTTGAAAACTTCTTTGCCTTAGCTTGGTCAATTACAATAGATACAATGTAGTAGGTTGAAAGCTTTAAAATAATGAACCAAGAACATACAGCATTTACAAAGAAAACCTTCTCAATAGGGAAAAACCTTGGTTCTTGGCCATAGCCAATAAAGCTCCGCTAGTTGTATGCAAGTAGTTATACACTCAACTGTCTCACACTCTGCACACACCCATGTATAAGTTGAAACCCTAGTTTTCACAGCTTCTACACACACACATAAGCTTAACATAGTGCTCACAAGCACCCCCCTGTCCTAAGCAACCATGCTTGGACCCTATAAACTCTCACATCTCACTAAATACAATATAAATGATGAACATCAACCATATTCAAGCATACACAAAAGATAAAGTGATTGTGCAGCTCAAAACCTCAAATAACTTCACTAAGCTTGTAATACCACTAATTTTTTCAAGGCTTTTATTTATTTGTTTTATTTTATATTATTTATGTACGTGGCTATTTGAATTGTTTGTGCATTTATTTTAGGATTTTATTTGATTGTCATTTTAATATTAATTATTTAGTGTTTATTATATATATATTTTTTATCTACTTGGCTATTTGAATTGTTTGTGGAGTGCTTATTTAATCGTTAGTTAAATATTAATTATTTAGTCGAAATTATTTAGTTAATTGTAAATTTTTCATTGGTGTTATTTTATATATATATTTTTTAAGTTAGTGGTATGGATGGGTAGATATATATATATATATATATATATATATATATATATATATATATATATATATATATATCTTAAAGCATTATGTATATGTTTAGTACTACGTATATTATAAATATATATAAACTATATATATGGTTATATACGTGTAATAGTTATTAAGGTATATTTTACACATTAGTAGTTATTAAGGTTTATACTACACATTAATAGTATTGTACCTTTATAATTATTATTTATATTTTGGTTATTCAATTATTATATTTATACCTTTTAGGAGTCATCAGTTGATAAGTGCTCAAATGTTGCACATTTTAGCATTTAAGGTAGGGTATTTTAGTCCATTCATCTATCTTACTTTCCCGTTTTAGTTCTAATTTGTGTTTTTGTCTATTTCAGTTTAATAAGGTTCAAACAGACTAAAAAGAGTCTATTAGCCCCTTTTTTGAGTTATGAAGAAAATCCAAAAAAAGTCAGAAAAACTGTATTGGACAGTCTTCGATCAATCGAAGGAGTTCCCAATCGATCGACAAGATCTTCGATCGATCAAAGTGAACGTGGTGCCAGCTCAGTGGATAAGGTCGCCAGTTGTCAAGATATTTATGCCACATCAACTTCGATCGATCAAAGTAAGCTTCGATCCATCGAAGCCATCTTCGATTGATCGAAGCTATTGCTGGCAGTGAGCTGTTTTATTCTTGAACACGCCTAAACTGCACTAACTTTTATAGCTGTGAGATTTACACCAATCAAAGACCAATTTTTGACTTGGAGACCACTCAAGGGAGCTAGTATTTAAATGTAATTGAATCAATTTTATAGGTGTGACGGCCCAAGTTTTTCAACCCGGTGCATCAGTGATGAATCGAAAGTTGACTCGGTAATGGATCCGAAATGCGGAAGCAAAAGATGAAACCAAGGTCTTTAGAGATATAAACCATCTCTAAGACATCAATGTGACCTTCCATGAAGCCATGAAGCTCAAAAAGGACGAAAGCATAAACAAAGGTCAAAACGGCCAAAAATCATGAACCAAGGGGCAAAATGGTCAACTCACAATTAAAAGGAGAAATTTGACTCTAAACAAGTCAAACAAGGTGAAAAAAACCTAATTTATTCATTTCACAACATTCTAAGAGGTTCTAAGAACATTGGACAAGAATCCCACAAAATGCCCTATCCCGGTCGAAGTAAAAACTGACATTACTTCACTAAAACATGAATAACTCCCACTACGATTGGAATCTAAGAATGGAATTGGTACCATTGGAAATCTGACTCAAAATTCATGAATTTAGGCTCAAGAATCACCCCATTTGGATTTAAAACGAAGAAGTTACGGTCATTTGAAGTCAGAACATCAGTGCTGAAACTGAACTGAAGAAGTTGGGTGAAAGGGGTTATTTCGGTCGACCGAAATAACCCATCGGATAACCGAAATGAACATGCTAAGAGCAAAAATCAAGTCTTTAAGGCTTGGTTGTTTCGGTAGACCGAAGTAACCCATCGGATGACTGAAATAGGTCTAAACAGTCCAAAAGCCTACTGGAAATGAATGATTACTGTGCCGTAACTACTCCAAAGGCTATCGGTTGACCAAAACAACTCAAAAAGCTCAGAATGAACCTGCTATGAACAAGATTTGATGAAGCTTCACCCAAGCTTCAAACCCCAACATGGATATGATTAAAAAACATGATTTTAAGCTATATAAACATGCTAGCAAGTGTAATTTACATATTGAAATGTATTACAATGGCCTATGGCCTCATTACATAACATTTGCTCAAATTCACATA